TACCTCCCCGTGAGGTAAGCCTAGAAGATTACCTACGCGCTCTCAGATTTTCCCTGACTAGACCCCCCTTGCTCTGGGCACACTTGCCAAGGCTTTGCTGGACCACTGGACAACTGGATCAGTCGTATCCCACACGCTGGACACCAATCAATGTGACAACCCCAGACCTACTGGGATATGCCACAGTTTCACTAAGCTGCCACCAACCATTCCCTATAAGAAGTCACACAGACCAGGGATGGATTTTTAACAAATAAAAGAACAAGGTTTATTTACATAACACACAGGGAAAATAAAATGATCAAATGAATAAGATACAGTAACGTGGCTTAGTCTCAATCATACATACACTAGTTTGGTTCACACAGAACGCATTTAACTAAAGCACAGACCCTGAACCTATCAGTTCTGGCTAACCCTACAGACACCTGAACCTATCAGGTTGGTACTGACTGACACACAGTAGTACCCTGTCTGACACACAGACTCCCACTCAAGCTTCTTCTCTCAGCTCTTCTCCAGCTTCTTCAGCTTCTCCACACAAGCTCCACATATATATACAGTACAGCCCCTCCTCCTGATGTCCCGCCTTCCACTCCCCATAGGATGGAACTTTCCCTCCAAACCCATGACAGACAGGTAACATCAGTGCTGTATGTAACAGTATTTTCTAGAAAGGTTGGGTTGTTGTTATGCAGGAAAGAGCTACTTGATTTTTACTGACTCAAAGTAAGATCTATGGGATGAAGCAATCTGGGAGACATTGAAAGTAGTGAATCCTGGCCAGAAACATTACTAGTGTTCACTACAGTCTTATAGGTACACATAGGTATTCTAAAAAAAAAAAGAAGAAGACAGGTAGCAGCTGAAGAATAATATAATATAATGTTGCAGTTAGGAAGCTGTGTTAGTCTGTGCAAGCATATCAGGCAATATCCAATGAAACAAAACAAAACAAAATAGATAGATAAATAAATAAAAAATACAAAAACACACGATGCCTTAAAGACTATTATATTTTAATGTGAGTTTTCATGGATCACGTGCACTTCTTTGGACATGTGGAGCAAAATGAAATACAAGATAAAACACCAAATTCACTAGTAAAACATTCAAACCATTCATTGACTTTAAGAGTCCTGGGAGTGTGGTTAAATCTCATGTGTTTTCTGGCCTATGTCTGGTGTTAATTTCTATTGTAAACTTTCTGACAGGAAACAGAAAACACCAAATATAATCCATAAAACACTGCACGTGAGATGTAACCACGCACCCCAAGACTCTTAAAACCAAGGAATGTTTCTAAAATTTTACTTGTGAATTTGGTAATTCACCCTGTATTTCATTTTATTCCATATGTCCAAAGAACTGGACATGGTCCATGAAAGCTCACATTACAATACCAGAATTAATCTTTAAGATGCCACACGTTTTTGTGTGGGTTTTTTTTGTTCCCCTGCCACCTTTGGATTTTGCCTGATATAAAAGAAATATTTCACATTCTCACCCCATCTCTCACATCTGTAATGTTCCGACAAACAAAATGGTATGTGCTCTGTTTTTTCTTTTCTACTTGCATTCATCTCAATGGATGTGTACGAGTTCCAATATTGCTACCATGGACTAATCCAATCGGGTTTGCATTAATTTCCCTGTGTATTGTTTTGCTTTAATTACAAATTATCAAATGTGGAAGAGGAATGCACTGAAATGTTACTTCACATATTAAGTTCCATATAGTATCCCAAGCTCTTGGTATTCTAAACCTGCAATTTAACAGATGGATCCTTCAGTTTCCAAAATATGTGATGCACATATTAATAATCTTTTGCTCATTATAATATATTTAAAAGTTAATCTCTAGCATATCGGGTGAGGAGATCCAATCAGTCTACTTGTTTTAATTCATTTTTGTAAAACAATAAACTCAGTTTGAGCTATATGTGCATACTTATCTCTTACAGAACTGATGCGATATATCAGTGGAATGAAAGTCCCTCTTACATACGTTATCTAGTAGCTGAGTCATGGAACATGTTCAGGTTGATGTTCTGCCACTTGAATAATTTCATGAAGCAGCAAGCACACAATAGAAGATGGCATTGACATTACTGTCTAATTGGGAATATACTCCAATGTATAACATCATAGTAATAACAGAAGCTTTAATTAGCAACTTAAATGAGTAGGAAATCACTGAGCTTACCCATCAGGTTCTTCACCTTGCCCAGCTTTTGAATTCTGTTCATCTCATTCTGGCAAGGGAGACCTAAAACATAATATATGAGTGTAAGCTTCCAGATGGTCAGGGACAGATTCTCTAATGATTAGCTGCACCACTGACAGGCAATGTCGTCTATGGCTCACCTGGGAACCAATGAGCCACATACGCTTGAACTGTACTGCTGAACAAATGTATGCCATTAGCTTTACTAATTAAAAAAATTCACAACACACTATGCTAAAAAACAGTGTTTGGGGGCCATTTTGATTGTTAAACAGTTTTTCCTTCCTTCATCAGCTTGATCTAAAGCCAGAATGCTAATTTACAGCTTGCTAATAGACTAATTCCAACATTATATGCAATAACGTAAGTAATAAACTAATAGTAGTTGAAATGAGATTCTCATTTCAAGCTGGAGGCATGCCCTAGATTTCCCAGAGCATATACGGAGCTTAGCTGATGATAGAGGAAGCCCTTGCTTAAGTAGAAATACACGTGTTCTTTGCAGTCTTTTAGAAGTAGACCATGAACTAGGAAGTGGGTAGGCAATCTGATGCCCTTCAAACATCTCAGTCTACAACTCCCCCAATCCCAGGGACATATGGGATTTGTAATCCAAAATTGGAAGGGACCAGGTTGCTCACCCCTGGCCTAATGCCAGTCAAAATGGGGCAGTGGTTGGACAGGAAATTAGGAGAGTCAGGTTCTAGATCTCTAGCCAGAAAATGACCTCTAGCCAGTCCCCCTCTCTCTGTCCAATCCATTTTACAGTGTTTTTATGAAGATAAAACAGGGAAGAGAAGATGCAAGTGCATTGGGTTGAGTTTAGGAATGTCAGGATACCAGACTAACAATCCAGACTCCTTCGGCTGCATGTGTTCGGAGGGCACAGAGATTTTTGCATGGATAAATTGATGCCAGATACTTGAAGTCAGCAAAGCTCTCACAACTGGCTGTGCATCAAGACAGACGCCTTGCCGCATTACATGCAAGAAGCTCTTTATTTCTTTCAGCAATCTGTGTCGACCCCACCCCCCTGGCCTCAAGAACAGCTTGGTCCCGCTTGTTATACAAAGGATCCAGCTGGAGTGATCAGTGGGGTTGGAGGGAGGTCCTTTGTTGTGTGTATTTAAGGATGCGGGGAAAGCTTGGTTTTTTCTTTTACAGAGCACTCACTTTCCTATGAGATTTTTGATGGATTTCTACCATTACGTGTAATCACGATTTGACTAATAGAACTAACTAGAAGGGGAAAAGTAAGTTTACCATTAAGAGGAATGTGATGAAAGCAACAAAGAAAACGGAGAAAGTAATGAATAGTAAAATGGAGGAAATGAAGATGACAAAAGAGAGAATCAAGTGGGAAAAGGATACTAGAGTTAAAAAGAGATTGAAACATTTATTTTGTGAAGACAGCTGAATGGGAGAGAAAGGAACTATGAATAAATGGTGAAATGAAAGAAGGAAATGGAATGAACAGGAAAAGAAAATAATAAAAAGAAAAGATCTTTGCAGATTTTTGTGGAGTTTGTCTTTTGCAGACATTGGTAATGTCTGGCAGGCACCTCTAAAAAAAGAGTAGACAGGAAAATAGGAGGCCTGATCTTAAAACAGACACTACAACAAAGTACATATATTAACATATGTAATGTCTGAATATCTTCTGCCGTGTCTGACTGCCCATCTGATCCAGTCCTTACAAATCTCACATTGTGGGTGTTAGCTCCCAGAGAAGCCTGGAAAATGGTAACCATAAACTGGGCTTTCTCTACAGTCGTGTCATCTCTATGGAATGTTCTCTTGCAGGAAATACAACAAGCACCTGTCCGTTCATGTACTTTAAAAGCCCCTAAAAACAGTACAAGCCTTTGAGGAGAATCGCGCCCCCCAAATAGCTGGGACACTGGAGGAAGAAGGAGAGGAATACTGCAGTGTTGTGGTGTGTTTTGAAAATTGTTTGCCAGATATTTTGGGTTATGATTTCTGTCTGGTATAGCTTATATTATTATATGATGTACATTTAATTCGTTGTGTACTGCCCAGAGTTGCAATTTGCTAGATGGGCAGTGTATAAATTGAATGAATGAATGAATGAATAACCAACCAACAAACAACAAAAATATCATTAAAATGCTGAACAAGCCTGCGCTAGGAGAGTCATTTCCAAGTCCAAGATGGCCCACATAGGATACAGCTATAACCTGCTCTTAGACCTTTGGTGGGCCTCATGCTGAATAAATAAACTGGGATAGAAACTGAGTAAGAAGATAAGGAGTTTCCAAGCGAGTAGCTGCGTTGCAGCATAAACAGCAAAGAGTCTTATGGCACCAACAACACTTAGCATCAACCTTCACGGGTAGTAACCCACTTTATAAGATGCAAGAGAAAGAATTGGTAGTGTCAAGATGTGTGCTCGTAATCCAGCTCATTTTGAAACAGAATAGGGCATCCTAAGTCAAGCCAATCCTCTGGCCAATCACTTGGCCAGAGGATTGGAAAAGATCAGTCTACATCCCAATCCCAAAGAAAGGCAGTGCCAAAGAATGCTCCAACTACCGTACAATTGCACTCATTTCAAACACTAGCAAGGTTATGCTCAAAATCCTACAAGGTAGGCTTCAGCAGTACTCCCAGAAGTACAAGCTGGATTCCGAAGGGACAGAGGAACTAGAGACCAAATTGCTAACATGCACTGGATTATGGAGAAAGCTAGAGAGTTCCAGAAAAACATCTACTTCTGCTTCATTGACTATGCAAAAGCCTTTGACTGTGTGGACCACAGCAAACTATGGCAAGTCCTTAAAGAAATGGGAGTGCCTGACCACGTTGTCTATCTCCTGAGAAACCTATATGTGGGACAGGAAGCAACAGTTACAACTGGATATGGAACAACTGATTGGTTCAAAATTGGGAAAGGAGTATGACAAGGCTGTATATTGTCCCCCAGTTTATTTAACTTATATGCAGAATACATCATGCGGAAGGCTGGACTGGAGGAATCCCAAGCCGGAATTAAGATTGCCGGAAGAAATATCAACAACCTCCGATATGCAGATGATACCATTCTGATAGCAGAAAGTGAGGAGGAATTAAAGAACCTCTTAATGAGGGTGAAAGAGGAGAGTGCAAAAAACGGCCTGAAACTCAACATAAAAAAAAAACAAACACTAAGATCATGGCCACTGGTCCCATCACCTCCTGGCAAATAGAAGGGGAAGATATGGAGGCAGTGACAGATTTTACTTTCTTGGGCTCCATGATCACTGCAGATGGAGACAGCAGCCACGAAATTAAAAGACGCCTGCTTCTTGGGAGGAAAGCGATGACAAACCTTGACAGCATCTTAAAAAGCAGAGACATCAACTTGCCAACAAAAGTCCGAATAGTCAAAGCTATGGTTTTTCCTGTCGTGATGTATGGAAGTGAGAGTTGGACCATAAAGAAAGCAAACCGCCGAAGAATTGATGCCCTTGAATCGTGGTGCTGGAGGAGACACTTGAGAGTCCTCTGGACTGCAAGGAGAACAAACCTATCAATTCTAAAGGAAATCAACTCTGAGTGCTCACTGGAAGACAGATCCTGAAGCTGAGGCTCCAGTACTTTGGCCATCTCATGAGAAGAGAGGACTCCCTGGAAAAGACCTTAATGTTGGGAAGGTGTGAAGGCAGGAGGAGAAGGGGATGACAGAGGATGAGATGGCTGGACAATGTCTGCGAAGCAACCAACATGAATTTGACCAAACTCCGGGAGGCAGTGGAAGACAGGAGGGTCTGGCGTGCTCTGGTCCATGGGGTCACGAAGAGTCGGACACGACTAAACGACGAAGTCAAGTGTGCTTGGGCTGTGAGAACTAGCTGGCCAAAAATGAAAGAATGCAACTATTTAAGAGATAGAGAGCAACGGTGGCACATGTGAGTGCTAATCACTTAGCCTACGTTTTGAAAGTTCAGCAGGCTATTGGGGTGGGGTCTTTTTTGCACTCTTGGGGCATCCATGTTTTTCACTGAACAACAGTTATTTTGAGCAGCTGTCAAAACATCAGCGGTGTTCAATCACTTATGCACATAATGAACATCAGCCTTGTCTCAGTGTTATTCTTCATGATACTCTCAATGGGATAGCCCCTTAGTTTTATCCATGACAAAGTATTTAATGATAGCATGATGGTGTGCCAACAAAAATTGTAACGTATTTAGCTTTGTGATTCAGTATGCTGATCTTTTCAGAAAACCAATGTCCAAGCAGTATTCAGAGTCAAATTTCTAGCATGGAATGCATTTACTTACCTCCAGGTTTCTGAAAACAATAGCACCATTCATTGTTTGAAAGCTTCCCATCTTTGAAGGAGTCACAGGAGTTGAAGAGTGGCTTAATGCATGGCTCATACTTATCAAGATAAATGGCATTGATCTCTGAGTGATCAAGCAGAAGGTCATAGTTCATGTCCAGTTTGTTGAACATCCAGCCCAGTGAATCCTTACAGATTGGTAATATGCTCGTGTCAAATCCTGTAAAGACAGAAGAAACCTCCAACTGAACTAAAATATACAGACATCACTAGAAACAAAGAATATCCACTAATTGACTACGTCCCAAAGTCTTTTATGGGGCAAGATTGATTTCAGATTAACCTTTCCTTTTTGACTTGTAAGCAAATGGAGCAGTAACCCAACTGAGAGCCAAGTGTGAAATAAATAGATAGGCTAAAGAGGTAGTAGAATAAACCTTAAAGAGGGAGGGAACCCTGACTTACCGCTCTTTCTGCAGCTTCTTCACAAATGTATATGGGAAAGCAAAGTGTTTACGGTTCAACAAAAACTGCTGTTATTGAGAAAACTATTTTGAATATAATCTGATTCACATTTATAATCTTGCTTTTCTGCCAGAGATTTGTTCTGCTGGAAGGTCTAGGTGATTATTAAAATACAATCCAAAATGAATTGTAACAAGGTCTGGGTTCAGGTGTAACAAAGGGGTATTTGGCTGCTCCTCCCAGCACATTTTCGGGAGATGTCACAACAAAACATCTTGAAAGCTCTTATCCATTTCATTTCCTCCTTGCATAGAATCAGAAAATAGGATCCATCATGAAAAATTGAAGGTTACTTTTCTGCACTAAATTTCATAATAGTTTGCTCTCTCATCCCTTAAATGGTTGGCCTCTCAGTGCATTTCCCCTCAAGCAAATGTTTGTACATTTCCATGTTAACAAAGTGTTCCAAATTCGTTTTGATGGAGATTATGAGTTAGTGTGCATATCTCTGAATAAAGAATTATTTATAAATCTCAGTTCTACAACTTCCAGGAATGCTGCAGGAGGATTGGCCCACATTTCTAGTGAAAACATGAGTTTCAGATTCAGCTGAAGGGCTACTGAATTGTTTACTTCATCAACTCTAGTAACTTTTTCTTGTAATCTGGGAAAAATCCCAAATCTTGTTGTGAAGCCCCATGAAATTTAGATTATGCTGTTTGGATTCCCTAGTGAATCACTATTATAAGCAAGTATACCTACATTGGTATGGCCCATATTATGTATAATTACCTAAGCCTTTTGTTATTCGTTGCAGTCTTTTGTCATTCTCTATCTATCTATCTATCTATCTATCTATCTATCTATCTATCTATCTATCTATCTATCTATCTATCTATCTATCTATCTATCTATCTATCTATCTATCTA